TCCTTCAAACCATTGATGAAATCAGGGAAGCACAGTAAGTCTTTTTTCAAAAGTTACTCTTTAATACTTTTCGTCTGTGGTTATTACATAGATGTCAAGCATTGAACACAGACCCAATGAAATAGACTAAAACACATTCAGTTGGCGACACACGCATACACAAACAATTCACACACACACAAAAGGCCACAAACCAGAAGGAGGGGTATTACAGAAATCCCTCTTTTTACAGTCGGAAGTGCTGTTTATTTCAGTAAAGATGTTTAAAACTAAATGACGCCTCACAGGTAACAAAAGGCCTCATCTGTGGTTTATGTAAAATAAAAGTACGTTACAAGACAATCCGGTTTTTCACCTGGATACACAGTCACACACACACACACACACACACATACAAACAAACAAATATATACAATCTGCGTGTTGTACAGACAGTTATAATTCATGACTTCATAACAGCACTGAAGTACCTAAAGCATACAGATTCCCATGAACTCCCAGCACGCTCCTTTTCCGAGCCTCATCGTCGTTTGGACTTTGTACGATTTGAAGTTTCGACCATCAATGCGTCTCTGCTTATCTCTATACTGTAGTTTAGAGCCATATAAAACCATTTACATTTGGGGTAAATGTGTGAATACAAAAAAGGCACTGCCATTTCTTATTCTAAATATGACTTCCCAGCCTCTTGCATGCATTTCTAAAATATAAATTACATCCTCTTTTTTTATTGGTTTTTGTTGGTATTTTTCGAGCTTTTTAATTTGGTTTTTGTTATTTCATAAACATAAGATTCTTTTAAAATATATATATTTTATATATACGTATATGTACGTCAGCCTGCAGTCAATACAGGACATCGGCTCTTAAAAACAAAATGCAAACGTAATAAACAATGAAAAAGCACGGAAAGACCTTCAGGATAGATGCAAGACAATAAATCAAAGTAAAGATGAAGTAAAAAAATAAAATCCATCAGCATCAGATATGGTATGCTAATGGGCAGAACTACAAAACAATCTTATGAAGGCTTTATCAAAGCTATAGTTTCACTTTATTCGGAATAGCAAGTTAGCAAGTGTTAACACTGTTACAGCATCTGGAGATTTTTGACTGCCGTCAAAACCTCTTAAGTCCAGTTTATACTTTGTTAATGTGTTTTGGTCAATCGGATCACCGATAAACATTTACAGCTTATCTCTTATGTCCACTTTGATTTCTGAGTCTATGAGTGTATGTATGAGCCTTTCTAGGGTTGCAAAATTGCTCATACAATTTATATTTGCGGTGTCACGGTGGCGCAGTGGGTAGCACGATCGCCTCACAGTAAGAAAGTTGCTGGTTCGAGCCTCTGCTACGCCAGTTGGCATTTCTGTGTGGAGCTTGCATGTTCTCCCCGTGTTCGCCTGGGTTTCCTCCAGGTGCTCCGGTTTCCCCCACAAGTCCAAAGACATACGCAGGGCCAGACGGAATCTGCGGACGTTTTTTGCTATTTCTGCGGAGAATTTTGGTAAAAATCTGCAAATTTCTGTGGATATATTTTGGGAATATCCAGCGGAGTATCATAACTAAAACCTTAATATATTAAATAAAAAGTAACAAATGACTGAATAATAACTGAATAAATTCAGATTTACACATTTACACAAGTAAATAAACAGAATTTATAATGGACTAAAAATCTGCAGAAATCTGCGGAAAATCTGTGGAAAATCTGCGGAATTCTGCGCGCGCAGATTCCGTGTGGGCCTAGACATGCGCTATAGGTGAATTGAAAAAGCTGAATTGGCAGTAAGGAAAGTGTGTGTGAATGTTTTCCAGTGATGGGTTGCAGCTGGAAGGGCATCCACTGCGTAAAACATATGCTGCATAAGTCATTCCGCTGTGGCGACCCCTGATTAATAGCGGGACTAAGCCGAAAAGAAAATAAATGAATTAATTTACATATGAATGAAAAAAATACTGAAAACAATATCTAATGCTGTGGGTTTGTGTCCAAATCCTGTCTAGACAGAAGGTGGTCATTCTGACTGTGTGAACGCATTAGAAAAGATGAGCATTATCATTACTAAAGCAATCAGTCAAATGTGTTTTTCGACTACTTCAGGGAGGTCAAAGTTTTAGACTTCATTTACACCTGTAATTATTGCTGTTTACTTGTGATCGGATTGACCAAAACGCAACTTAATACCACTATAAGCTTCTTTATATACTGACAGATAACGAATTTGCTTTGAGGTCGCTGTGGGAACAACATTTGATCCGAGTGTGCCTCACACGTGCTTAAAAGTGAAGCCAAAACATTTCTGTCGCCCCCCAGTGGCTGGCTGCAGTACATATGAAAACCCTGCCCTATCCCAAGTGTATCTCTGCGGATTGCAAGACAGGGGCATAACATGAAGGGGTGTAACTTGTAGTAAGTTAGAGGCGTAACTTGCAGTTATTGAGACCCCACCGAACCACGCGAGATGTTCTTGGCAAGATGGCGGAAATACTTTCCAGAGAACATTTCCACCATGTTTTCATGAGTTTTCTCCAAACTTATCCACAACCAATTATTTAGATATATTACTGTATATTCATTCATTCAGCAACTCCACCATGCAGCTCCACTTACTGACTTCTTCATCTGTTTTATCATGACAGTTAGCCTACTCGGCGTCACCCTCTGCAACTCACGGCTGTATGTTAATAATTGTGATGGTTGGGTTTAGGGTTGTGGTATAAATAGAGGTTAATAACTGTGATGGTTGGGTTAAGGGTTGGAGAAGGTGTAGACATTAATAACTGTGATGGTTAAGTTAAGGGTTAGGGAAGGTGTAGACATTAATAACTGTGATGGTTGGGTTTAGGGTTGGGGTATAAATAGAGGTTAATAACTGTGATGGTTGGGTTAAGGGTTGGGGAAGGCGTAGACGTTAATAACTGTGATGGTTGGGTTAAGGGTTGGAGAAGGTGTAGACATTAATAACTGTGATGGTTGGGTTAAGGGTTAGGGAAGTTGTAGACATTAATAACTGTGATGGTTGGGTTTAGGGTTGGGGTATAAATAGAGGTTAATAACTGTGATGGTTGGGTTAAGGGTTGGGGAAGGCGTAGACGTTAATAACTGTGATGGTTGGGTTAAGGGTTGGAGAAGGTGTAGACATTAATAACTGTGATGGTTGGGTTAAGGGTTGGAGAAGGTGTAGACATTAATAACTGTGATGGTTGGGTTAAGGGTTGGAGAAGGTGTAGACATTAATAACTGTGATGGTTGGGTTTAGGATTTGGGAAGGTGTGGATGTTAATAACTGTAACGGTTGGATTAAGGGTTGGAGAAGGTGTAGACGTTTATAACTGTGATGGTTGGGTTTAGGATTTGGGAAGGTGTGGATGTTAATAACTGTGATGGTTGGGTTAAGGGTTGGGTTAGTTGTGGACTTTTATAACTGTGATGGTTGGGTTAAGGGTTGGGGTAGGTGTAGACGTTAATAACTGTGATGGTTGGGTTTAGGGTTGTGGAAGGTTTAGACGTTAATATCGATGATGGTTGGGGAAAGTGTAGACATTAATAACTGTGATTTGTTGGGTTTAGGCTTGGGGAAGGTGTAGACCCTAATAACAATGATGGTTGGGTTTAGGGTTGGGGTATAAATAGAGGTTAATAACTGTGATGGTTGGGTTAAGGGTTGGGGAAGGTATAGACGTTAATAACTGTGCTGGTTGGGTTAAGGGTTGGAGAAGGTGTAGACAATAATAACTGTGCTGGTTGGGTTAAGGGTTGGAAAAGGTGTAGACATTAATAACTGTGATGGTTGGGTTAAGGGTTGGAAAAGGTGTAGACATTAATAACTGTGATGGTTGGGTTAAGGGTTGGAGAAGGTGTAGACATTAATAACTGTGATAGTTGGGTTAAGGGTTGGAGAAGGTGTAGACATTAATAACTGTGATGGTTGGGTTAAGGGTTGGAGAAGGTGTAGACATTAATAACTGTGATGGTTGGGTTAAGGGTTGGAGAAGGTGTAGACATTAATAACTGTGATATTTGGTTTAAGGGTTGGGGAAGGTGTGGATGTTAATAACTGTAACGGTTGGGTTAAGGGTTGGGGTAGGTGTAGACATTAATAACTGTGATGGTTGGGTTAAGGGTTGGGGTAGGTGTAGACATTAATAACTGTGATGGTTGGGTTAAGGGTTGGGGAAGGTGTGGATGTTAATAACTGTAACGGTTGGGTTAAGGGTTGGGGTAGGTGTAGACATTAATAACTGTGATGGTTGGGTTAAGGGTTGGGGTAGGTGTAGACATTAATAACTGTGATGGTTGGGTTAAGGGTTGGGGTAGGTGTGGACGTTTATAACTGTGATGGTTGGGTTAAGTGTTGGGGTAGGTGTAGACGTTAATAACTGTGATGGTTGGGTTAAGGGTTGGGGTAGGTGTACACGTTTATAACTGTGATGGTTGGGTTAGTTGTTGGGGAAGGTGCAGACGTTAATAACTGTGATGGTTGGGTTAAGGGTTGGGGTAGGTGTAGACGTTTATAACTGTGATGGTTGGGTTAGTTGTTGGGGAAGGTGCAGACGTTAATAACTGTGATGGTTGGGTTTAGGGTTGTGGTAGCTATACAAGTTAATAATTGATGTACAGCCTTCATGTTACATCTGTGTCTTTCAGTCCACAGACAGACCCTACACCCCTGTCCACATAAATAAATACTAATTAAAACTTCAAATTAGACTTAAAAAATTATGGTTTCCTTTTGGATATTTTAGTAAGTTCTTATCGCCCTGATATATGTTCAAGTGTTAGTCAGCTAGCTGATGCTCTAGATATGGGGTGTGGCTTCATGATTCTGTGCTTGTGATTGGATATGTGGGTGTTTGGGGAGGGAATTTGATACCAGCTCATTATTACTACTGGCTTCAAATGATTTCATAAGTGCAAGATGACTACAGCTATAGATGAGACATTTTGGCTTCAATTTTGTACAGCGGAAGGAACTGGAAAAACATTGCTCATCTTTTTTTAGTCTATGATATGAACACTTAAATTCGTGTCATACTCCACTGTCTATTAATGTGTGGACAGAACTCTCTGTAAAGACCAACACAATGACTCAACACTGAATGTATTTAGCAAACAAACACTGTAACAGCTGAGGTGAAAAACAGCATCAAAATAACAACAAGAAAGAAAGAGTAAAACTGGCTCTGTGTGACCATATAAAAAAACATTTCCTTAAAATACACAATCAGGGGCAGGTAGCAAAATATAAGCTTTTATAGATACTCACAAGAAAGAGAAATGATAAACAGCAACATTAAAAAAAACTGATATGTCTTTTGACTATCAGGTATGTATTTTGAGATAACAAAAATGCAAATTGGGAAAACAAAACATCCAAACAAAACATAACTAGGTTGTTATCTGAGATGTACTTATGGTTACCAGCCATAGCAAATGTTAATACACAAGGTATTTTAAATAATACATCTAATGAATAGAATAACCTCTGCATCAATAATAGAAAAGAATAAATAATCATTTGAATCTGCTAACTGTTTTTAAATGGCAGTGACGAGTGGCTTATTACACACAAACAAATGCACCTTTATAAACAAGATGCACGGGATGCCACATGATGGTTTGCTAACATGCTTTAAAACAACACTGCCGTTTAAAGCATTTCATGCACTTTAAAAGCACTAATTTGGAGGCACCAACTTGCTTATGAAGCCGACACACTGCATAGTCAACATTCTTTCTCTTTAAGGCAGATTTAACCGCATCGTTCGCCACTCAGCGGATGTGAAAGTGCCTCTTTACTGTCCGTTAAATCAAGACTGGTTTCTTTGGATGAGCCAAAAAGTGTAAAACACTTGAGGTGTGGGAAGGTACATCAAAGTTGCAGGCTGGCACATCCCTTTACATTAGGACTACAGGGTACAACAGTCCTGCAATGGGGGACCTTGGGGGGAGTTTGTTAGTCCAGTTCCTCCTCCGAGACCCCCAGTTCCCCGTCCGCCATATGATTCACACAGTTTTTGCTGATGAGAGTCTATTGCACATTATTGCAAATTCACTTTTGATGGTTTCAGCAATATTTCACAGCACCAAGGGCAGGAAAAGCAAAGTTATTATAGGAAAAACAACTCTAAATAAGATTAACATTCACCCTCATAAAGGGGCTTTACACCCCAGATTAAAACAATTTAAAGCAAAGAAACTCTTTCAGACCCTTCCCATGCAGAAAATTAGATCTTCACTTGTTGAGTCCAAAACTAAAAGCTCATTTCTTATTGTAAACTTTCTACTTTATATACCTGGCATGATTAACTAATGGCTGATATTAAGACAATACTGTTAAAAAAAAAGACATTTAATGGTAACTATTGCACAGTTTCACCACAAGGTGGCGCTCTGTACTAATAACTGGTGCATTAGCGTTTTCTCCTCATAAATATTTAGGATCTCCCCTTGTTTCGCCGCCAGTCTACATCCTGGTTCTAGAAGTGTACCACACATGAGATATCCCAAATAACAGAAATCATCCACACCGCGCCGATGATATTCCCAAAATCAATAAACAATCACCCCAACAGCGGTGCATTTACAGATGAAAAGTTCTATTCATTAAAAACATTTCCACAAAACACTGAATATATCTCCAAGCCCTCACATAATATGCAGAAAACCCTGCAAAGTCCTACAGTATCTGAAGAAATCTTTTTATCTCCCAAACCTTACCATATGTATATTCAAATATACTATATTGTAACTTCTTTGATCTTATTATATATTTATACATTATATTAAGATCAATTTAAACCTTATATATACTGTATATTGCATTTTTTAAACAGAATTATGTTATTTTCAATGCAATATCTAAATAAATCAAATATATTTGAATATACATATATATTCTGCCTGGACCTTCATCACTGACCTTCAAGTTCACCTGCTCTTCTCTCTCAACGTTTCCATCTACTTGCATTTGCTGGCATTTCTCCACTCCTCCATTACTCTGACCTCCTGTTGTCCTTCGACCTCAGTTCCTTACGTCAGTATCCACATACAACATTCCTCTCTGCTCCCTCAGTAGACCCTTCCACTGACATCACTTCCTTTCCCATCTCCACTCACACTGCCGAGTACCATCCGTAGCTCTGACTGCCTTTGTAGTGTTGTAAATCAGCTTTCCTGCTGGCACGATAGAAAACTAGAACAACGAAACGGTAAATATGAACACACAACTGTAAACTACGAAGCCTTTTAGGAATCTAAAGCTGTACACCGTCCACAACAAATCGCACCTGAAAAACTGTTCGGATTTTCTTGACAGTATTATGTGTAAACAAACTATTTTCGCATCTGCTCAGTGGCACAGATATCTAATCTGTAACTACATATCTCGATCTGGTTTGGTCTGCTGGTGTGTTTTTGGATTTCATGACGTTCCAGACAGCCACCTAACTGCTTTGATTTGTCTCCTTTGCATTGCGGACCTTCTCTAATGGCCTGTCAACACTAGACCTCTTCTAAAGAAGCGCTGAAGAAGATGATTTTCTCCCAAACTCGAATGTAAACACGCTGAAGTAGTCATGATGACAGAACTCGCTTGTGTTAAGCCTTCAGTAAATGGTGATTGGCACTGTGTTGGCCACACCCCTCCCCATCTCTCCTATTGGCTATTGGTGAGCAGGTGGAGAGGGGAGGAGGTTATAAACAGAGGGGCTTGTGACCTTCTGATGACCGTTCTCCTCTTCTGTCAGGCATGCCTGTGTCTCCCCAGTGTGCCAGCTTTCCTTCTCTCAGATGGTTGAAGTTCGATCAACACCATCTGTGGAGAAAAGTGGCATCAGAGTTAGTGACCACACCCAAAAATAAAGCACAATGTAAACTAACTGAAAAGAAGTAGTCATTTAAAATGTACTAACCAATAATATACCTTATACAATTTAGTATAAAAAATACCTCAGAGTGTCCTTACTTTTTAGTATTTATAAAAAGTAGGGGTGTAACGGATCACACAGCTGATGGGATCACAACCCACTGTTCAGGATGCACATGATCGGGGATTAATACCTTTTTTGAACTTGTAGGTTATTCCAACATATATAGAAATTGCAGAGAGATCACCTCCTGAGTCATTCGAATCATGTGTGTGAAAGCATTTTGGCTTCCTTAAAAATATAATGATGACGAAAAAGTTGTGGTGGGCTTAAACGCTTTCTTGGGTTATTAAGTAATGGTGTTTTCTGTCACTGTTTGTTTAACTTGCAATAATGCATTCAGTGTAAAGCGGCACAATTAAACATTAAAAGATTGTGATCTCAAATCAAACCCATGCAACATGAATAATAAATGATGGTGATTTGCATATGTTTATTAATCCTTCAAAGCACTGCATTTAAATCTGCCTTTGATGGAGAGTGATTATTTTTCACACTTTTTTAGTTTGTTACAAACAATTAAACAACACAGAAGTACTGGGAGAACAGTTTATAGTTCAGATATTAACACTGATGTTTATGGTAAAGATTAAATTCAGTGTTTAATGGAACTTAACGCTGGTGAATGTTGTAGCAATTACATTGCATAACCAATAGGTGGCGACAAACAACCATCAAAATTATGTCACTAAAAAGGTTTTAAAAATGATCCACCCATAATCAAACATGAAGTTTGTGTGAATTGTTGAATCATTAATTGAAAATAAATATGTTGTAAGATGTTAGGTTTCTATATTTAGCACTATCAGCAACAGTAGCAAAGATCATTTTTCATATTGAACATTTCCTTTTTGCTGGTTCTTTCTTAATTTAAATTTGTATTAAGATTACAGGTTCTAAGTTCTGTTTGTTAAAACCAATAGTTTTTGGAGCTATTTTTTTGTATAAATGGAAAGCAAATGACTTTGTCTCCTCCCTTTTTTGATGATCCAAAAAATGGTCCGATCCGTGACTCAAGAACTGTAGTGTGATCCGAACTGTGAAATTTACACCACTAAAAAGATATATATATATATTTCTTATTATATATTAGCCCTAAACGCTTAAACAGTAGCTTAATTTTGAAAAAGCTGATGCTGAATTAAGTATTTTTTAAAAGGTATCATACTGTATGTCTCAGGAGTCCCCAGAATGTGTACACAAAGTTAGTGTAACAGTAATTTATTATATGCTACTGTAAATACTGACCCTTTTGGAAACAAAATATGGCGCCGATAGCCTTGTGATTAGTGCATCGACACACAGCACTGAAGTGCTCACGCTGACCAGAGTTTGATTCCCGTTTCGAGGTCCTTTGTCGATCCTTCCCTATCTCAGCTCCCCACACTTTCCTGTCTGTAAAATCTCCACTGTCCTATACCAATAAAGGTGAAAACCCCTAAAAATAGAACTATTAGCCCCTCTGAATTATTAGCCCCCTTTTTATTTTTTCCTCAATGTCTGTTTAACGGAGAGATTTTTTTCAACACATTTCTAAACATAATAATTTTGATAACTCATTTCTAATAACTGATTTATTTTATCTTTGCCATGATGACAGTGAATAATATTTGACTAGATATTTTTCAAGACACTTCTATACAGCTTAAAGTGAAATTTAAAGGGTTAACTAGGTTAATTAGGTTAACTATATATATATATTGATCATTCATTTTCTTTTCCGCTTAGTCCCTGTATTAATTTGGGGTAGCCGCCAACTTATCCAGCATATGTTTTACACAGCAAATGCCCTTGTGCCTGCAACCCATCTCTGGGAAATAGAAGTATAAATAAGTATAAAATCTGCTCCCTGCACCCTATCCAGAAAAAGGTGGTCCTTTACAGCATGTTCCCCGGTTAGTCCGCCACCACAAAAACTTTGAATAATCTCCCCAATAGGTTCTTCAGTCCTTGAGGGTTATTTGGAGATTACAGTTATAACTGTTGGAGTAAAGCTCATTGGAAGTCCAACATTTTTGTGTAAAATCTTCACATAAAAAAAAAAATCTTATGTTGTGTCAATCACTTTTAAACACTCTTCAAAACTTTCAGCTGTCCTTGAAGAATTTGAGGTTTTCAGGTTTGATCTTTTTTTGTTTTGTTTTTTGTTTTTACATATGTAGCAAGCGTTTTAAGAGGTGTTTTGACAATTTCATAAATAACATAATAATCTTAAATGTTCAGGACCAATTAAATTCAATAAACACAATATTTATTCTTTCTTTTTTTGAAGAAGGAAGAATCCAAAGATCACTGCGTGACATTCCATTTTGTATTGTTTTATGATTTCTTATGGAAGGTTTCTGCGCATGATGAAATTGTAGGATAACAAATACAAAAAAATGCATGACAATCTTTTTAGACTTCAGAATTCTGCAGGGGTGTGAGTTTCAGACCACAGGTGTAAACTATCAAAGTCATTTCAAACAGGTTCTGCCCCCTTGAGGTGAAGCGTATGATCTGCTAGTTTGATGTACTTCAGAAGCACTACTTGCTTATACAGAAATAACTTGTGTCCATGCAAAACATCACTGTAAAAAATGTTGGATTTTACACAAATGATTTGTGATGAGACAACATAAAGGAATTAAGTTAGCTTATTTGTTTTTACGAACTTAAGTGAATTGAACATAAAACAATTATGTTGTCCCCCCTGTGTTGTTTCAGCTCATTTTATATAAGCAGTTGGAACAAACAGCAAAAATATTTTTGGAGTGATCAACATTACGCACCAAAGAAATTTGAAAGTGTAAAAAGCATAACAGAAATAAACTGTAGAGTAACTAACTCAGTAGTATAACTCACTATACACCACTAATGCATCCTAACTGAATACAAGTAAAAATTGACTGACTCTTTTAAATGGTATAGTGCAACTTTCTGACTTACTAAACCAATTTGCTCATCTTCTGGAACGTCATCAAGCACAGACAGGACTTCTGGTAAGCAGCTCTGAATGACTCAAATGACTGTTTTATTTATTTATTTTTTTTGCTTCTGGTTCATTTGAAATGACTTGGGCTTCCCAAGCATGCATTTGACAGAGCAAACAGTCAGCTCCTGCGTAATGAGGGCGACCTGCTGACCAGAGGAGCTGGAGGTCCTGAGTCTCGGGGTTTCACCGCCACAAGAACACTACAGCTCTGTTGGCAGCTGTGGAGCAAGCAAGTGGAGCGGATTGAGGCATTCCTGAGCTCACCGCAGAGCAGAGCTGCCCACTGCTTCTGCCCGTCTCCCTCATCCAGCCTGTCTGCCTGCCTTGCTGCTGTCTATCTGTCTTCCTGCACTCGCTCTACACAAAGCTGTGCTTGTCCAGTTCTGAGCACTGAAAGCCTCTGTGTGTCAGCCCGGAGAGAAAAAACACACTCTTTATACAAAGAAAACCTCCACTTCACACGGGAATGTTTACTGCATTGATCCTGCGACATGCGGATACAAAGTAATGCTCCTTCCTGTCTGGAGCTGATAGTCACAATATCTTTTGCCTTTTGAAGACTGTTGTGTCTGATGCACGGTATGAAGATTATACCTCAAAAAGTCTATTTAAATGTTGTGGAGATGGAAAAAAAACTTATTCAAAGGAAAAAAAAAGGACTTCAGAAGGGTTTTTGACCTTTTAAATGAGTGCCAGAGGGGATGATCCTGAGGTTTTCCTGTGGGCTTTCGTAAATCTGCTACAGTCAGCAGAAGATGCAAACCATTTCCTCAAATTCCGTTCTCATGGATTGGGGGTTAAATCGGAAGCTTTTGTCGCATGGACTAGTACACAAACATTATTCAAGAATAAAAATATCCTCATTGATCAAACAGACAAACAAACAAATGCAGATTCAGACATCAAAATAGATTCAAATAACTAGTGATGGATCTTTCTATTCCCAAAGCACAGTTGGTTTTGCAGCAAGACAAAATAGATTTTATAACCAGTGATGGGAATAACAGCGCTATAAACAAACGGCGTTACTAACTCATGGTGGTGTGGAGAGACCCCCCTTATAATTGTGAAGCGCTTTGTTTGTATGGCCATAGACAATAAATGCGCTATATAAATACACATTACATTACATAACTGATAATTTTTTAGTAACGAGTAATCAAATGAATTACTGTTTCCCATTACAACGCTGTTACCGTTACTGACAATAAAATGCATGTTACTATAATTGAGATCACTGAAGCGGTTTTCATGCGAGCAGCGTCTCTTATAGCCATCTCTTTCTCAGGGGCAGGACACAAAACCAACCAGTGATGATGATTGGTGTGTCTGTGAGCGTGGTGTAACTGAGAATGTGATGATTGGCTTAGATGGTTCCATCATTTGCTAATCAGAGGCAGAGTAGTGTGGGTGTTCACACACAAGCACTCGCACAGTCAGTGGGAGACACCACACCAAAGACCAGGAGTCAGAACGATGGAAAATCCAACAAGTTGAAAGGTAGCGTTTGCAAACTGGAACTATAACTTCTGCTTTTCGTTGAGGTGAAAGACAAGAATGTTAATGTGTTGTGCAACTTATGCCCAGGAAAACAAGAGTCTCTCTGCATTGGTGACAAGTAATTCTAATCCAATGAAGCACCTCACGTCGTCACATACCATCACAAACTTAGTGGCTACGCAGGTGTTAACGTGAGCTCTGCTACCAAAGGTAGAGACTTGCCACGACGTCAAAGCAAATAAAACATTTTTCTCCACCGCAAACACATATTACTCAGACAGAATTTACCAAAATCATACCTAGATATATATTCAATTCAATTCAATTTATTTATTTAGATATATAGTTGAGGACATGCTGCTGTTGGCTCTCACATTGTCCCACAACAACATTAAAATAGTTTAGATTAGTGTACAATATTTCATATTTATTTTATTGTCATTTGACAAATTAGATTTTTTAAAGTAACGCAACAGTTACTTTCCCTGGTAAGTAGTTACTTTCATAATGATGTAACTTTTGGTTACTAATTCAGTTACTATTTGTGAGAGGTAACTAGTAACTGTAATTAATTACTCTTTTAAAGAAACGTGCCCAACACAGTTTATAAATTCATAAAAAAACAAAAACCACTATTAATAATAAAGAGTTTCACAGCATTTAGTATAAAGAGTAATAAAAAGAAGCTTTTCTGGTTAAGGGACCATCAATGAATCTGTGAAGTCTGTGTGTGTCTGATAGATTTGTATATGTCCTACATTAAAAAAGCAGTTTAAACAATTGTGGATGCACTGTTGATTTAGTGTTTTGTAACTGTCCCAACTAGGACTGCATGATTAATCAAAAAAAGATTGCCATCTCGATTCGACCCCCCGACACCATCTTAATTCAGCATCTCTACGATTCAGCCAATTATTTTCAGGTTCAGAAGAAGCATAAAGGCAGTCACACAAGTCTTCAGATTGTTTTATGTATGTTGCTCAGCAACATGGACACCTCCAAATGATGTAAAAGTGTCACATATTGTATTTATAAGGTATAATTCACCTAAAAATGTCAATTCTGTCTTCATGCAATGATGCATTTGCTTCTGCGAAATGAGACGTGAGCTGTTTATTTACTACTGAGACGACAAGCGCAATCTATAAGTCCACCGTTCCAACAGTAGACCTACACATAGGCCTAATATTATTATTGCTGTTTTACCATATATTTGAGAATTAACAATAATACCCTACTCGTATTAACCTTTATTTTGCATCTACAGAATCGTGAGAAAATCGTGATCTTGATTTAAAAAAAAAAAAAAAAAAAAAAAATCATGATTCTGATTTTTGCCAGAGTTGTGCAGCCCTTGTTCCAACCTACTCCAACTTAATGCCCATTTGTTTTTCAGCGGTGAACAACTCCTTTAAGTTCAGTATTTTTAAAACAATACTGAGTAAGTAGTGGACACGTACCTCCCAGAGCGTGTTCGGTCATGCTGAGACACAGAGACTCTAAGCGGTTATTGATGTCTGGCTCATTCACAGGCACCTGCAGATCTGCAAAATGACAAACAACTTTAACAAATATAACAAAGCATAAAACAGTCAGCAGGACACAGCAAGAAAGTGGTTAGTAGAAACAGAACATCTCACAGTGTTGTTTGTTCACAACTGTTTTTTTTTTCTTTTTCTTTTTTAGGAACATATAATCAGTGGGAACAAAACAAATTATGTAAAAAAATGATAATGAAAAAAATAATAATAATAATAATAAAAATATATATATATATACAGTTGAAGTCAGAATTATATATATATATACAGTTGAAGTCAGAATTGTTAGCCCCCATTTGAATTTTATTTTCTTTTTCAAACATTTCCAAAATAATGTTTAACAGAGCAAGGACATTTTAAAAGTGTGTCTGATAATATTTTTTCTTTTGGAGAAAGTCTTATTTGTTTTATTTCGGCTAGAATGCAAGCAGTTTTTAATTGTTTAAAAATTATTTTAAGGTCAAAACTATTAGCCCCTTTAAGCTATTTTTTTTTTCGATAGTCTACAGAACAAACCATCGTTATACATTAATTTGCCTAATTACCCCATCCTGCCTAGTTAACCCAATCCACCTAGTTAAGCCTTTAAGTGTCACTTTAAGCAGTACAGAAGTGTCTTGAAAAATATCTAGTCAAATATTATTTACTGTCATCATGGCAAAGATAAAATAAATCAGTGATTAGAGATGAGTTATTAAAACTATTATGTTTAGAAATGTGTTGAAGAAAACTCTCCGTTAAACAGACATTGGGCAAAAAATAAACAGGGGGGCTAATAATTCTGACTTCAACTGTATATATGCGTAATTGCGTATATACACAAATACATTCATTCCACATGTTTACATTCATTCATTCATTCATTTCCCTTCTGCTTAGTCCATTTATTCATCAGGGGTAGCCACAGTGGAATGAACCGTCAACTTATCCAGCTTATGTTTTACGCAGCAGATGCTCTTCCAGCCTCAAATATGAATATATAAGGTTGTCTAACATATACTCTCAAAGATTCGTAACCTTTAGAATTATGTAAATGAAAATTATGGATACATATATTGTCGTTGTGGTGAAAGCCAGTAAATTACACCATTTCTTTTGTTCACAATGGCTTTTGTAATCAGGGTCAGAAAAAAAATTGCCTATATATTGGATTTTGGCTTCTAAATATAAAGTTATTTTTCATATCATAATTGTTCATATGTTCACCAAAACTGAAAATTCTGTAATTTACTCACCCTTCACTTGTTCCAAACAATTTCTTTCTTCCTGTTGAACACAAAAGAAGATATTTTGAAGAATGCTGGAAACCTGTAACCATTATCTTATTTAGTATTTTTTCCTACTATAAGTTTCCAACATTCTACAAACTATCTTCTTTTGAGATTGACAGAAACTCATAAACGTTTTGAACCACTGAGTAAATAATGAGTAAATTTTCATTTTTGAGTAAAATATCCTTTTTCAGTTTTTTGCTCAAAAGCACAATAAAAGTCAGATCACCCCTTTTCAGGTTTAAACCTTTTAATTATGAATCAAAAGACTTAATAATTATGGATTTGATCTGTTTTTAGACTATCACTTGCAAGAAAAAGAAGGATGCATTTCAAACTTCAATCCTGCCAGAACTGATGAATGGCTCCAAACTCTGAGCTCAATTTTTAAAACTCAATGCCATTATGCTTGCAAATTGCACTGAACTGTTTGTGTACCGATTGTGTTTCTAGTTGCCTCAGTAGTACAGTGGGCTACAGTGAGATCTAAAAGAGTTGATTCGGTTTCGTTGGGGTGGATTCTGCTCCAGCAGCACTGCTCGTCTTTAGCTGAGTCAACAGCAAACAGACCTTTGAAAATCCCTTGTGGGAAGGAAGAGCTGAGTTAGGCAACCACTCTGGCTGGACACAACACACAACCTGCTATTTATACCCAGCAAATCCCATAAGGCCCCTGAAGCCTCTGTCACAGCACTCTGTCTTTGATGATTTTGAATTAATCAAGGTGTTAATATGAATTCATTCATAAGTAACGAAATAAGAAAGAGTTAAGTTGCAGACACAAAGAAAGTCATTGCAACCCAACGCACACGCACACAGCCTCTCTCCCTCCTTCAGAAGGGCTGGAGTATTTGTGTAAATGCATGAGAACTGAAGGAAGTGAGTTTGAGCTGCAGTCAGAGTGGAGCCACAGACTGAGAGAGAGGAACATCTGTCTGCTCTCAGTGTAAATGTGTGTCAGTGGAGCACACAAAACACTCAGGAGGATGAGGCCATGTGTAAAGAACAACAGTGCTTTAAATAGGGGAATGCATTTCAGTTTCGGAGTCGGACCACTTATGAATATATTTTAATTACAGAAATACAGTTTTTATATTCATGTACATACAGTTGAAGTGAAAATTATTAGCCCTCATATGATTTTTTTTTATATTTCCCAAGTGATGTTTAACAGACCAAAGGAATTTTCACTGTATTTAATATATATTTTTTATCTTGGAAAAAGTCTAATTTCTTTTAGTTTATCTAAAATACAAGCAGTTTTTAATTATTTATTATATAATATTGTTTATAATTTTTTAAAGGTCAATATTATTAGCCTCCTTTAGATTTGTAGAACTTGCCTAGTTAACCTAATTAATCTTTACATTGCACCTCAAGCTGATTACTAGTATCTTGCAAATGAAATAGTAAAATATTATCTACTGTCCTCATGGCAAAGATAAAAGAAATAAACATCACTATATATTAAATTTAAAATAAACATCTATATATATATATGTATGTATGTATGTATGTATGTATGTATGTGTGTGTATATATATATATATATATATATATATATATATATATATATATATATATATATATATATATATTTAATTTCACAAAAGGCTAATTATTTTGACTTCAACTGTACATGCATCAGGCCCAGATTAAGAATTCAGAGGCCCCTGGGCATAATTTCTTGTAGGCCCCCTACCTGGCCGCACCCCTGTAGTTGAATTAAAAAAAATAAGATTAATATAATATATTTTAAAAATACAATTAATTTATAATGTATTGCCTGCATTTCTTAAATAAATAATATACAGTACATATAGTTCTAGTCTACAAAGATTTTACTTAATTTTAAAGCATTTAAAGTATACTTTAAAAACAAAATACTAATATAACTAAAATTAATGGATTTTAATATACTTTTTCAAGTTTACAGTAGCTTAACTAAAAATAGATATTTAAGGGTATTTTTAATGAATAACTTCTACAAACTTAGAATGCATATGATTTTGATATAACACCTCTCCAATCCAGTTCTATGAATCTGAGTCTTCCACAATACACACACTTAATAATGATTCTTGTTTGTCTTCCTCGTGATGAAGAGTAGGCAAAATCTGATTAAAAAAAAAAAAAGAATCTGTTCATCAGATGCTGGATTCGAACTGGGTTCATGATTGATCAAGTCAAAACATGATGCCAAGCACTTTACCAGCTACGCCACTCACACTGCTGTTAGTTGCACTCTTAAGTTTTGTTGTCTCTGTAACTCAAACAGTGATGGGCGGGAACACTCAACACTCTAAACACTCAACTAGCTTATTTCAACGAGGTGCGCTATTTGCACTTAGCCTAAATAGACACTCCTAAATCAGCATTTTTATCCCCCTTGCAGGGGCTCCAAGTGCGCACGGGCCCCTGGACCTGTGCCCATAATGCCCATTGGTTAATTCAGCCCTGACATGCATACAAACAAATCAATATAATAGAATAAATAAAACACAGCACAGTCGCACTGCATATGCATTTAAAAAAAACTTCTGTTGTTAAATTCATCATGAAATCAAAACTGACAATTCTTTTTTTATTTTTATAAAATATTTATCAAGTCATTATAAGTACAGATCATAACGGTTTTAACCTTGTGGTTGCATTAATAAAAAAGTAGTCCTCAAAAATATATTGAGTAGCCTTTTTTCAGCTTTCACTGACTGTAATCTTAACAGGAGTAAAAGAGAATTAAAAACAGATTTCATAACTTTTCAGGATATTTCAAAACTTTTTAAAAGGACAGTCGATCAAAATCATAGAATACTTTCAGAAATCAGTCTTTACTAACACAAGTCCTGATCATAACTATCATAAATTCATTCATTTTGAGGATTTTAACTCTTTTATTCCAATATGATTACATACTGTAATAACGAAATTGGTAACTTATTTTATTTTATTTTTTAATAATTTAATATTTTCTATATACAAAATGCTAAGCAGATTAAAAAAATGGTTTATGTCAGTGTAATTTTTAAATGATAAAATAACTTCCTCTCCTTCATGTCTTTTTTTTCTCTGATGATGTCATTACTGGCATTAGGATAACCTGTCACACATGAGATCCACCAATCAATTTATCACTAACAAAATCAAGGTTTACCTTCATTCACAATAGGAAGGAAGAGGGAGACTAATGTGATTTCCATTGCCAATGGCAACTTTAGGTCATAGTCAAGTTTTTGTCTCTCACCTGTCTGCTGGAACATGGCCATGGTGTGTGGGTTGGTGTGGACGGGTAGTGATCGAGTCCTCTGAACAGAGCTGTGTGTGCGGCTGGGCATGCTGTTACTGCCCCCTGGGTTAGCAAACCACAAACCCTGACAAAAAAAAAAAAAACACACACACACACACAAGACAACCAAATTACAATCATGTCATACTCTGTCTGCAAATACTCCAAAATGCAATCTGCATAACAGACCTCATAAATAGTTACAAGCTCAGGGTAATTTATTAAACAGAACATGACAGGAGAATTAAACATGTTTTTAGTAATAGTAACACTTATTACAATGACAATAATACCACAATACGGGTCCTAACATTGGCATGTTTCTTAACTAAATCTCTGTCTTGTTTGTTTCATTATGGTTTAAAATACATGCAATACAATGCATAAATCATAGTCTTAACTATGACATGATGTATAATACTTTACAATTAATCTTATTTTCATTTCTGCACTGTAAATTTATTTATTTTTCATTATGCCAATGAGAGAATGCGGGAAATAATTCTCTCATTAACTTAAATAAGTTAATTGACCATATCATACGGCTGGGCGATATTGGAAAAACAATTATCATGATATCATGTTTCATATCATTTGATATTGATAATTATTAAATGGTTTTTACAATCTGTTTAGAAATATTAGGATTTTTAAACCATTTTATTTCAATTTACCAACATTACTAAGGTCATTGGTTTTAATAGTCAAAAACAAAAATATTTCATCTAAATATCTCATCTCTTTATAACAAAATAAACATAAGTGTTAAAAAGACTTGATAAATAAAATGGTACAATGTGTGCAATGGTAAAGGATAAATGCAAAAAAAAATCAAAGCAAACTTTAAGGTGTCAATAATAATGACACAGTACACCTCAAACTCAAATCTGAGTTTTCAAGTAAAGAAATCAAGTATCATTATTCAAATACACATTGCATCATTACAAATTGTAAAGTTGAATGACTGCATTGCCCCTGTGCTAAAAAATCTTTCAGATGGGGTGCTAATGACTGGGATGCACAATAAAAGAAACCAAAAAGCCACTCTGGCGACATCCTTATATCTTTTTTATCTCCTCACTGCTGCTAACCTAAAGTGACAAGTGCGTGCACGTGGATTCCTTGACCATTTACAATAGACTTTGCGCTCACGCTACCCTGGCATCTCTCGTAAGTAGCCGACCATTAACCATTTTCCCAGAGGATGACTAATAAACAAACCAATGCTGCAGCTCCGATGCATGTTTATGGAGAAAAGGTAATACGTCTGCCGTGAAGCAGAATGGTTAGTTCTTTTTGCATGAATCGTGGTGCGCTCGCAGCATTCTGAAAAGTTCACATGTTTTTTTTAACTAGGTGCGGCTGGAAAATACCCGCAGTCCACGTGCACACGTACTTCCATTGATTAGGTCCTAAGTTTATTGACATTGCTTCCAAGGCGCGCGCTCAGCAGCTACATTTTAATAAAACTATAAAGATCTCATGCAAAAATAACTTTTATTTTGAATATTTGACAGCACTAATTAAATTATATATTTGTTTTTTTTTTGGATGGGTAAAGTTCGTCCATTCAGTCTCCTAATTTGACATGAATAAGCCCCTTTTGACAATGGAACCTGCCTATCTCACTTTCATTGACTCTCTGGTTCTCTTCATCGGACTCCCTCTCCCTCTCCCCCTTTCCTGGCCCTCCCGTACAGAGGAGCAGGGAAAAACAGGAAATGCCTGTGCTCTGTTCTCACTGCCTCTGACTGGCTCTCTCTCTTTCTCTATACTCCTCTTTCTCTCTTCTCCTCTTTCTCCTCCTCCAGTCGCACTTCTCCACGCTCATGACTCACACTGAACCCCAGTGTCCACAGCTCTGAGCCAGGGATGCAGTTGCAGCTTCCTCCCATTGTAAACGTGCCTAAAAAAATGTTTGAGCAGACGCACAAGAATGCCAGGTTATCACTACGCTTCCAAACCCCCGATCCTCAGTTCTTCCATTCAGTGATGTAGGATTTCTGGAATGCTGTAAATCGCCTGCAGCTTCATCCACTTCACAATCTTGAGCTCATGTGCTGTTGCTGAAAGTCGCTGTAAGTGTAGTGACAAACCTGTCTGCCCTGTTTCAGGCCGGTCGGGGTGCTGCTGCTGCTCCGTGGGGTTGGTCCGAACAGGCCGGTGCTTCCCAAAGGGACAGGTCGTATACCGGGCAGACTCCGCATCTGATACTGCCGCAGGTTCCTCCGGGTGGGGATGCCGCTGCCTACACAGCCTGTGGTCGGGAGGGAGTTGGACTGACCATATCGACTGCTGAAAATCCAAATTATTAAATATACAAGAACTGGTTTTAAAATAATTTATTTAATTAAATTACATTATATATTCTCTCACACACAATTTAACTTCAATATGAATGAATTAATTTGTGACTAAGTAAACATATATATCATAAATAAATGCAGTGTTCCCAATCTTAGCCAAGTGCCCACTGACTAAAATTAAGTGACATGTCAAATTTTCTTTACCTACATTTAATAGAAAAACAGGCAGCTGTTGTGTTGAGCAGTCAGTTATAATCACTGAATTTAAAGCAAAATCAAGCAAATGGTGCAACATTTAGCGTACCTTGCATTTTTTAAATAATAATAATAATATTAATTCTTTACATTTTATATAGCGCTTTTCTGGACACTTTAATAAAAGAGAAATGCAAAACCATATAAGAGCTTTAGAAAGCGAAAGTAAAAGTTAAATCCTGGAAATTTTAGGAGATTTAGAAACCCGGGCCGGACGAACTTTTCCCAAAAAGGAGTGTCTCTGTGGGTCTGCAAAGCAAGTAAGACTTGATCGTGGATGTTTGCTTATATTGGATAGATAAAAAAAAGTGTAAAAGGATGTTGATAATTGTAAAAAAAAAAAAGTCACTAAATATACTTGGGTAGCCTTTAATATACCTGGGCGGCCCACCTAAGTAAAGTCTATATGTGGGAAGCACTGCAAAGCCCATTTAAATAAAGCTACGTACGTTATATAGATTGCTAAAAATGTGAAATTTTAACATGATTTTTTCCAATGCTTTTGTTAAAGAGATCTGATCAATTTTGGTAATTTTGATATTTTAAAGTCATGTCTTAATTTTCCAAAGTTCTTTGATTATTCCTCAAGAATGGGAGTATAGTTCCTAGCCATATCGGCCTTAAAAATAACAACTTGGTCTTAGTACACAATGTAACTACAGAAGACTCCAGCTTAAAATTAGAAAATTATTGAAACTCTTTGGTAATTTTTTGAGCGAGATGCTAATGGTCTAACCCGGTTCAATGATCTATGCTAAGCTAAGCTAAAAGTGATCCCAACAGATCCCCAAGTCCCCCCAAAAGGGTGGTTGTCCGCTAAAGACTAAAGTGCAAAAAAGCAGCAGCAGCGTAATTTTGGCCTCTAATGCCCAATTCATACAGGGCGTCAACACTTCCCATTCACTCTGAATGGGTGACGTCAAGCGTTGTCAAACTGATTTGTAGATCTATCAGCGCTGCTTCAGCAGTTTTGCTAGCTGCAGAAGTTGGGAATTTCTCAACTTCTCAAGCACCAATGGAAGCGTCAGCCAATCAAATCGCTTTATACAAATACCCCAGCTCTGATAGTAGTCAATTGCAGACAAATATCATTGGCTGCTATGACGATCACATCAGCCCTAATTTCAGACACACCCTCTGTCAAGCTTTGACGCTGACGCCCCGTGTAATCTGGACGTTTGTCATTCAAGTCCCCCTAAAAAGCTGGTTGTCAACAAAAGACAAAAGCACAAAAGAACAGCAGCAGGATTTTGGCCTCAAATACAGCTACATAGAAGTGTAAATAGAAATACTTATCAGAAGCTCCTTCCCTGCGTTCATTAATCAATCATTAATGAGTGTGATAATGATGGACCATAAAGTTAGAGTTTTTGAGAATCAATGCTCTGGAAGTCAATAATATCTCACACTTTGGCCTAAAACCGGAGATTTTTTGTTGAGTATCGTATGCTCTATTTTCAGACCATGATGCAATCCAGTAGGGAGTGACGAGTGTGACTCATGGTCTTAAACACTTGTGTGTGGTCTGCGGTCTCCGATCATCATTAAAGTCTTAGTCCAATAAATAAAAACACAGATGGCAATAATTCTGCCCTAAATCAATCAACATTTCTGAAAAAGTAAACCTCAGAAAGACTGCTCTTGCCTAATGCCTGTCCTCAGACCAGTTTATGATGTAATCCGGTAAAACTTGAGCAACAAAACTGGTTCAGTCAGGAAACGCTGCTCTGTTAATCAGAAGACAGCTGACATGGTCGATATCTTCCAGTGAAATGTACTCAATCACTGTTGACCTGAGATCATTGTTTAATGAAACACACCACTTTTTTTTTTCAGGGCAATAGGCTCATTAAATCATCGTTTAGATTTCAAGCTCAACAGTTTTAGATGATTTTCCTATTTAAAGCTTTACTCTTTTGTAGTTACATCATGTACAAAGACGGTCAGAAAATGAAAAGTTGCTATTTTCCAGGAAGATATGGCTATGAACTACGTATGCTCATAGTCTGCCATAATAAATCAAGCACTTTTGCTACTGTACCATGGCTGCAGCAGACGCAATGATATTACACATTGCTGTTACCTAACTGGGGACTACAGTATTTCCAAGAGCTGAGTAATGTCATTGTATTATTCAATAAAAATCAACTTTCTTGAATATAATTGCGGAATAAGAGTATAGTTTATAGATATATCAACTGAGAAAATAGCAACTTAGAATTTTTCTTCAGTCTTAGTATGCGATGTAACCACAAAAGACACATTGCAGCTGTCTTCAGGACTTTACACTGGCTCCCAGTTACATTCAGAATAGATTTTAAAGTATTATTACTTGTCTATAAATCACTAAATGGCCTAGGTCCTCAATACATTACAGATATGCTCACTGAATACAAATGTAACAGATCCCTCAGATCATTAGGATCAAGTAAATTAGAAATGCTAAGAGTTCATTCAAAGCAGGGTGAATCAGCCTCCAGCTACTACACCCCCCTCTCCTGGAATCAGCTTCCAGAAATGATCAGATGTGCTCCAACATTAGGCACGTTCACATCACGACTGAAAACACATCTGTTTAGCTCTGCCTTTACCAAATGAGCACTGTTGTCCGACAGATCACACTATTAGGTCTTTGTTTTCTTTTCATTCCTTCATAACCTGTTTTAAAACATTTTATTCTGTCTATAATCATTTTTATTCGTTGTTGTTTTTTTCTTGTTTCTTTTATTCCTGTTTATGTAAAGCACTTTGAATTACCATTGTGAAATGATATGAAATGTGCTATATAAATATAAAACTCAACTGTTCAACTCTATAGGAGCTGTAAAATGAGCCTATTTGCAAAAAAGATGGAGTGCTCCCTAAAATTCTGCTTTACCTCCGTCTCTGTCCTGTTAGATCCAGGAGAGTTTTCCGTGAAATCGACCGGAACTGAAACTGCACCTGCTGCTTCCAGGACAACAGCCTCTTCTTCTGCGTCTCTGTGAAGGCCTGCGAGAGGTGAGAGAGAAAGACTTGCGGTTTTCATTTCAGATCCACTATTAAAGCAACACTGCACATATAAACCAATAACTTTAAACCAGTGTGCCATTGCTTTTCTATTTGAATTTGGATAAAAGACCATAATAAACTATTAAAAATCTGTATTCAGTGAATGGAAGTATTTAGTACATATTTTAATACAACAGTTTGCTAGTATGATCATATTACCTGTATACATTTTTTATTAAATTACCTATTTAAAAGTCTCTTACAACAGGGTTTCCCAAACTTTTTTTCCCCCAAAATAACAATGCCAGTGACTCACGACCCCCAATATTCTCTGAGGTGGTTTTAAATATATAAACCTTGCACACAACGGAGCACACATACCAATAGGCCCAAGTCTATGCATTGTTCAATATTTGAGAATGCAACCTTCCTCCATGGCCTGTATTTATTTGTAATGTACGGGAGTGCAGTAAAGGTGTCATGAAGTTTAACCAGGTGTCTTAACCAGGATTGTGCTGCATCTAACGCTATTGCTGTGTCTTTAATGTACAAAATCACCCCAAGGGTCACAAAATATCGAAAAGCTGATGGCTTTTTATTTGCATGTTGTTTTTTAATGGTTATTATTAACATGTTAGCAATGTTAATATTAACTACTATTTTGTTCTTCAGTAGGTTATGGAAAAAATATGGTAATTCTAATAGTTTAATAAAATGAATGATTATTTTCGGAAATCACCAAGCGACATCAATATTTTTTTTTCATCAATATTATTTTTTAGTACTACTAATCCTTTTTATTGCAGTTATTTTTATTGAATATTGATTAATTAGCTGAGGCATCAAGTTTCTTTGAAGTTTTGTCTATTTTTAAACTATTCTTGAATTTCATATGTTTTATACGGCGACTCAATGGCTCAGGGGATATCACTGTTCACTGTCGCCTTTCAGCAAGAAGGTTGCTGGTTCGAGTCCCAGCTGGGCTAGTTGACATTTCTGTGTGGAGTTTGCATGATCTCCTTGTGTTTGCGTGAGTTTCCGCCGCGTGCTCCAGTTTCCCCCCACAGTCCAAAGGCGTGGTATAGGTAAATTGAATAAGCTACATTGGCTGTAGTTGCTGAATAAGTTGGTGGTTCATTCCACTGTAGCAAACCCAGTTTAATAAAGGGACTAAACCGAAGGAAAATGAATATATTTTATACTAATGCATCATTTACCAAAACACAAAAAGTTTTATGTAAATGACAACATAGATCCACTAACAATTTTTCTTGAATATTATAATGTCATATTTCTGAGTGAAACAGGATATTCAGCAAGTAATGGCTTAGCAAATTCTGTGGTAATTGATTGGATGATAAAAAGCTACATCTTTTAACAATAATACTCAGAAGCTTCATTAATTCATTCATTTTCTTTTCAGCTTAGTCCCTTTATTAATTTGGGGTCGCCACAGTGGAATGAACCGCCAACTTATCCAGCATACTGTATGTTTTATGCAGTGGATGCGCTTCCAGCTGCAACCCATCACTGGGAAACATCCATCCACACCCATTCACACACATACATTACGGTCAATTTTAGCATACCCAATTCACCTATACCACATGTCTTTGGACTTGTGGGGGAAAACGGAGCACCCAGAGGAAACCCACGCCAACATGGGGAGAACATGCAAACTCCACACAGCCAACTGACCCAGCGACTTTCTTGCTGTGAGGTGATCGCACTACCCTATGTGCCACCACGACTCCCCAGAACCCTAATACAAGTTCTTTAACACTCACCTCATGGATTAGGCACTTGTCAATAAGCTGTAGGTAGGAACTAATGTTCTCCTCATCTGACCCAGAGACGAGGAGCTGTGTGCACACTGTTCCAAAGAAAAAAAATTCCAACATTAGCTACTGCTGTTGAAATATGAATATATGAAATCTCATATTTATGGAAAGCCCAGCAAAAGCACGAGCAAAGCAAACGACATAATCTCTATCTGACATCTAATGACCCATTTTCCTGTCTGTAAGATAAAGGTATGGAAATGGAAAGTGACCTTAAATGCATTGATGGGCTCTTTAAATTCAACTGAACTTCAACTCTGAAAACTGGACTGACTGACTTTCAGTTTCCTAGAACTTTCATGTCAAAATCTACATTGTAAAAGCACTATAGAAATAAAGATGAATTGAATTGATGGAAATCACAATAGACATGGAATAAATGGAACAAATACCAGGACTTTTAATTCATAAAATGGAACCATTTGTTTTGCAATAGACCAAACATGCTTCATAATTGCTTCAAATATGGAATAAGGATGCAACATAACAAAATAACAAACAAAAATAACTGACATTTTTAAAAAACAAAACCAATGTGAATGCTTTACAGATGCAATGCATAAACAGATGATGGAAATCTTAAAATAAAAATGCTTGTATATTAATCTACCTTTTTGAAGTTTTGAAAAGTGCTTAAATTTCGGACAAAGTGCTTGAAACTGCTTGAAAAAAATGTAATTGGGTTGCTTTTGTATTAACTGATCTTACTAAAACTAAATAAGTACGAAATATTACTCTTTGGCATGAAATAAAAACTCTGGAATCTGCACATGTGCCTGCAGTGTGATCTGCCTGTCTCTTTTAATCTGCACCCTTTGAAATTAAAATAAATATAAAGTGAAGATGAAATCTGACACATTTAAACGTGCAAATAAATAACATTAAAGAGAGTAAGTGACTCTGGGCTTGAGGTAAACAGAAATGCCATCTAAAATTGTTCCTTAGAATACTATACAACAGAATACAATAACAAATAGCATCTGATATAATGAGATGTACACGCACTGGCCACTTTATGCGTACACCTGCTCGTTAACACAAATTTCTAATCAGCCAATCACATGACAGCAAACCAATGCATTTAGGCATGTAGACATGGTCAAGACGATCTGTCGCAGTTAACACCGAGCAGAACAGAATGGGGAAGAAAGGTGATTTAAGTGACTTTCAACGCGGCATGGTTGTTGGTGCTAGACGAGCTGGTCTAAGTATTACAGAAACTGCTGATCTACTGGGATTTTCACCCACAACCATCTCTCGGGTTTACAGAGAATGGTCCAAAACAGAGAAAATATCCAGTGAGCGGCAGTTCTGAGGGTGCAAATGCCTTGTTGATGCCAGATGTCAGAGGAGAATGGCCAGACTGGTTGGAGCTGATAGAAAGGCAACAGTAACTCAAATAACCTCTCGTTACAACCGAGATATGCAGAAGAGCTTCTCTGAACTCACACCACGTCCAACTTTGAGGTGGATGGGCTACAGCAGCAGAAGACCACAGCGGGTGCCACTCCTGTCTGCTGAGATCAGGAAACTGAGGCTACATTTCGCACAGGCTCACCCAAATTGGACAATAGAATTTTGAGCTCTCGATTGAGTCTCGAGTTCTGTTGCGACATTCGGATGGTAGGGTTAGAATTTGGCATCCTTAACATAAAGCATGTATCTATCCTGCCTTGTATCAACGGTTCAGCTGGTAGTGGTGTAATGGTGTGGGGGATATTTTCTTGGCACAATTTGGGCCCATTAGTACCAATTGAGCATCATGTCAATGCCACAGCCTACCTGAGTATAGTTGCTGACCATGTCTATCCCTTTATGACCACAGTGTACTCATCTTCAGATGGCTATTTCCAGTAGATTGAATAACACGCCATGTCATAAATCACAAATCATCTCAGACTGGTTTCTTGAACATGACAATGAGTTCACTATACTGAAATGGCCTCCACAGTCACTAGATTTTCAATCAAATAGAGCTACTTTCGGATGTAGTGGAACAGGATATTTTTTAACAGGATATATTTGTCGTGCAGCCGACAAATCTGCAGCAACTGCGTGATGCTATCATGTCAATATGGACCAAAATCTTTGAGTAATATTTCCAGTACCTTGTTGAATCTACGCCACAAAGGATTAAGGCATTTCTAAAGGCAAAAGGGGGTCCGACCCCGTACTAGTAAGGTGTACCTAATAAAGTGGCCGGTGATTGTATGTATACATATGTTGATATGTACTTTTCCCACACTTGCTGGAAAAGTAAAAAAAAATTGAGTGTGAAAATGTTGTATATATATATATATATATATATACTGTATATATACGGTACATATAAATGTGTATTCAGATGTAAACTAGCTAACATGCATCTGATGATAGAGTAACATTAATTGAGAAGAAATGAACTACAGAAAATGGAAAGTAAACATAAATTCCCAAAAAGCTACAAGTAATTCACAGAGTAGAGGAAGAAGTTTGTGCGGACCTTTGCCCATGACGCGGATGAACTGAGCGGGTATGTCTCCTTCAATTATGAGCGTGGAGCTTCCCTCCGTCTCTCCTCCTCCCAGATGTGAGCTGGCGATGGCGCTCTTCCCTTCTGTGCTCAGCAGGTGGCGCTGTGATGACTCCTCCGTGCTGCAGGCTTTAATGGGTGTCTGGATGATCTGGTGGAGCTCTTGCAATGGAGCACGTAGATTCCCTCCCTCCAAAACATCCTGAAAGCAAGAGCGAGAGGGAGAGATGACAAATAAATGGATGCAAGCGTAGTTGTTACGCTGAAGGTTGTGGTGGAGTATTATTTTGGATGCTTCCATAAATTCAAAACAGGCAACTGTCGGGTGTCGGGATATTTCAGACATGTAATGAGGCGGAAAATGACATGTGAGGACAAAATAAAGGTCTACCAAAAATACGTGCATGTTTGTTTGGCTGTCTCTAACGGGGGCCGACACATGCGGCACATTAAAACTTTAAATGGAGGGAGGTGTCTGATTTCTGATGCTACAAATGCATCGAGATGGAAAGGTTGCTCTGAAATTAGACATCTGGCTCCTTCCTGTCTCTTGTTGTTTCAGATATTGTGTGTCCTTGAATTAAAGAGATGACGTTTTAGCTTTTACACATTCAGAATTAATGTGAAAATGGTGAAGATGAAGGTTTGGGCTTCAGAGTTAAAGATCAAGGCCCACTTTAAGCTAAAAATGTCAAATGTCTTGGCTTTCATTAAAAAGTTGAATTTCCATAACCAATAATGAATGAAAAACATGCCTCTGCGTATATATTAATAATAGAATGTTGACCCTTGTGTGCTGTTGGGGATGTTTTCATCCACTCTAGGGTGATTTTGAAGCTTAATTTGGCCACAACTTTCTGTCTCAGCAGATGTAATGATTTTTGGCGACATCTTATTTTGACACATATTTTGGAAAAATGCTTTGCAGTATTTCAAAAAACTTAATCCACTCTGGGCAAATTGACAGCCTTTTCATTTTGTTCAGGGCTGTTTTTGCCCCATTGACTTCCATTATAGTGACATTTTTGATTGCAAAACATTGACACTATATTATTGATGATTTTGATGACTGATTTAAAAAATTGTGGTTATAATGGAAGTCAGTGGGGCAAAAACAGCCATGAACATTACAAAAGGGGAGTCAATTTGAACAATACACAAGGGTTAAAATAATATGTTAAAATAAGAGCTTAATAATAAAATATACAAAAGTCTTGTCGCCTATTGAAGTTTTAGGAACAACAAATAATAACTTAATTTCTAGTTGATCATTTGGTATCAGAAATGGCTTATATGAAAGGCAAATGCCTCTATATCACGAATATTTTACCTAAATAAAATATGATCACGCCTTGATTTTTATTATTTTATTAGGACAGTAAAGTCTGACTGCTTAGACAAAATAGACAGAATAGACAGAATTTGCTTACTCACTTAACAGAAATAATGTACAGTATAGAATATAAAGTCATGGTGCAGTGAAAAAAAGAATTAATATTGTGTATGACTCCTATGAGCTTGGAGGACTGCATCCATCTCATCAATGACTCAAATAACTTATTAATAAAGTCATCTGGAATAGCAATGAAAGCGTTCTTGTAGGACTCCTTGAGTTCATCAAGATTCTTAGAAATCATCTTCAATGCCTTTTCCATCTTACCCTACACATGCTCAATAATGTTCATGTCTGGTGACTGGCCTGGCCAACCCTGGATTACCTTGACCTTCTTTGCTTTTAGCAACTTTGATTTGGAGGCTGAAGTATGAGAAGGAGCACTATCATGCTGAAGAATTCACCCTCTCCTGTGGTTTGTAATGTAATGGGCAGCACAAATGTCTTGATATCTCAGGCTGTTGATGTTGCCATCCACTCTGCAGATCTCTTGCACGCTCCCATACTGACTGTAACCCCAAACTATGATTTTTTCTTCACCAAACTTGACTAATTTCTATGAGATTCTTGAGTCCATGCGGGTCCTCTTTTGCAGTATTTGTGATGATTGGGATGCAGTTAATAGATGATTCATCTAAAAAATCTACCTTCTGCCACTTTTCCAAATGATCAACTAGAAGTCAGGTTATCTGTTGCTCTTACAACTGGGATTGACGACAAGACTTTTGCCAGGTAGCGTATGCACGATTTGCTAGAATGTAAAAAAATATGACAAAAAGTGATGAAAACAATTGTTTTTATGTCACTTAATTATTATGATTATGATAATTCTAATTGTAATAATACAATATTTAAGTTATACAATGTTTAACTTAATATTTTTTGTAAGATTAATGTAAATTGAAATTACTAGAAAAGTTAATTAGATTCAACAAAAAAAAAATTAAGGTAGCAATAATCTTTAAAAAAAATTTTTTTTTACAGTATGAAAACAACAATGTAGATCTTGAAAAACATACAAACAAACAAAAACAAACAAACAAAAAAAAGTTAATTACTCTCCTATATTCAACAAAATTCAATGTCTGGAATAGAGCTTTCAAAGTTCAAAGATATTGTAGAAATATTCCATGACCAGTTGGGAACCCTGCATATAGTAATAAAAATAATCTGCTGTAAAATTAAATGAATAAAAAATTGTGAGAAGATCAAAAGAATGAAGGTTGTAACTGAAAAAAAGATAAAGAAAGAGAGGCTCTGACCTTCTCCAAACAGCGCAGCATGTTTTGTCGATCTTTCAGCTTCTGAATACTGATGATGATCTTGTGCCGTGCCCCTTTGGTGACTTGCTATATTCAGGAGAAAAACAACAGTTAAAACATCCTATGTGACATAACAGACGCTTGCAACTAGCCCCACAATTTACACAGCAACTGTAGAAATCTATAGATGTTGATATGATGGACAGAATTGTAAAGATTGACCAAAAATAAAAGCTGATTTCAGACAGAAAAACTTGGCATTTGATCTGCATTGGTAACGCACAGCAGCTGTGCCGGAAACAGAACAGGCTACAACAATTATTCAGAGCTAAATGCACAACATAACTAGCAAGCTAGCCAAATCAAGATGCTATAATTGATTTTCATCTCCCGCATCACATAAATGGTGAGAAGTAATTGAGTCTTGTGGTTAGCTCAAACTCTCATGTCAGCATGTTCGTATCTTGTTCTTGCTAGAAACCAATCCTGCAATGTTTGTTAGTAATTCTAATTTATTTTACGCAAGATTGGTATTTTGAACTTGATAGCTTTCCTTGAAAAACATAATTACATTGGTTCATTCATTCATTTTCTTATCAGCTTAGTCCCTTTATTAATCCAGGGACGCCACAGCGGAATGAACCACCAACTTATCCAGCACGTTTTTCAGCAGCGGATGCCCTTCCTGCCGCAAGTCATATCTGGGAAACACCCACAAACTCATTCATACACACACTCATACACTACGGACAATTTAGCACTGTACAATTCACCTGTACCACATATCTTTGGGCTGTGGGGGTAACCGGAGCACCCGGAGGAAACCCACGTGAACAGTTGTGTATAGTCAAAATTATTATAATTCTGACTATACACAACTGTGTGTGTGTGTGTGTATATATGTGGCGAGGTAGTGGCGCAGTAGGTAGTGCTGTCGCCTCACAGCAAGAAGGTCGCTGGTTTGAACCTCGGCTCAGTTGGCGTTTCAGTGTGGAGTTTGCATGTTCTCCCTGCCTTTGCGGGTGCCAAAATAAATAAATGAATGTATGTGTATATATATATATATATATATATATATATATATATATATATATATATATATATATATATACAACAGTTCTGTCTGGTTCTTAAATCTGATTGGCTGATAGCTGTGATATATTTAAGTAATATCAGCACCCTCTATATATTTTTTTTTTCGTGTTCTTAAAAAAAACAAAAAATACAGTAAATCTTGCAAAACATTTCCTAAAAGGTTAAATGTTACTTTTTTGTTACTAATTTATTTTATGCAGGCCAAAAAAATGTTGGCCAATTTCTTTAAATTTGAGATTTATTGTAAATTATTTAATAAAAATAGCCTTGAAGTTATTCTTAAGTAAAAAACAAATCACAGTAAATCTTACAAAACAAGTCCAAAATGTCATGATAAGTAAATCTGACTGTGCTTAGTAATCCAAATGTGTTTTATGCCCGCCTAAAAATGTTGGTCAGTTTATTTAAATACAAATCTTATCCTTTGTTATTTCATAAAAATAGCCTGAAAATTATTTTTAAGTAAAAAGCAAATATGCAATAAATCCTGCAAAACAAGCCAAAAATTTAACAATAAACAAATGTTACTGTAATTCCAATTTCATGCCAGCCAAAATAATCGGTCAATTTCTTTAAATACAAAACTTATCTTTTATTATTTCATGAAAACAACCTGTAAAATGTTCTTAAGTAAAAACAGAATATACACTTTTCATTAGAAGAAAAAAAAACAAGGCAAAACAATTCACCCAAATATAAGTTATTTATTAAAAGTAGAGAAATGCAGAGTTTACTAACAGGTGAGACCACTGACCTGAGCCTCCAGCTGCTGCTCCGTCAGTGACATCATCTCATCATAGGTCATGGTGGAGAAAAGCCCAGCGTACTTATGGAGACGGAGACTCTTCAGCCACGCCGGCACATCTGAGAGAGACAGATTATTGATTAGCATGAAAAGCCATGCAAGGTACTGTAGCATTTCTTCCATTTCCTACATAGTTGAAGTCAGAATAATTAGCCCTCCTGAATTATTAGCCCCCCTGCGTTTGTTTTTTCCAATTTCTGTTTAATGGAAAGAAGATTCACATTTCTAAACATAATAGTTTTAATAACTAATTTCTAATAACTGATTTCTTTTATCTTTGCTTTGATGACAGTACATAATATTTGACTAGATATTTTTCAAGACTTCGATACAGCTTAAAGTACTATGTGAAGGCTTAACTAGGTTAATTTGCAAATTGGGGTATTTAGGCAAGTCATTGTATAATGATGGTTTGTTCTCTAGACAATACAAAAAATATGGCTTAAAGGGGCTAATAATATTGACCTTAAAATGGTTTTAAAAAATTACAGACTGCTTGTATTCTAGCCAAAATAAACCATATAAGACTTTCTCCAGAAGAAAAAATATTATAAGAAATACTGTGAAAAATTCCTTGCTCTGTTAAACACCATTGGGGAAAAATTTGAAAAAGAAGAAATTCCCAAGAGGGCTAATAATTTTGACTTCAGCTGTGAGTGACCTAGTAATTAAAGGTGTGTGATCGTTATGATGACTACTACATATTTCTAATATCTGTTTACACAAACTAGAGCTGCAGAAATCCTTTTATAATTATAGTTTAAATCCAAGATCAAGAGTCTTCCATGATTCTGAACAGACAACTAAAATATTAATGATGATTCAGAATCTACTATTATATTAAATGTTTCAATTTAATTTTATTAAATCAATCAATGACTCACTCAAAAATGCTTTGTATCATTACTGAATGAATCAGCATTTCAAGGAATAATTGAAACACAAATACAGGTCAGTGCTGTTATAATGATGAAGGAATTTTCAAGTGTTAAGGGTTGTTTCTGAAAAGCCTGTAGACTGATTTTTATGTAAAGGACCATGTGGAATGTTTTTTTGCGGGACAGTTTTTGAACCATCTTGTACAAACTGGTCCATATTGTGATTAAGAGTTGCTTTCTTAACTGCTGTTTTCACTCTGCAGTGATGTTGATTTTTTTAGATGTTTTTTTATGTCACATAATAAAATATAATAAAATGATAAATAATTATCACAGAGCATTTTTGGTTTCAGTTGTTATCCAAGTGCATTCCAGAATTTTCATTTCAGTACATCCCAATAGGAAACAGCACATCCTTTTGATTTTCCCAGCAAAACACCCTGAATTTTTCAAATCAAAATCACTCGCCAGGCTTTTATGGATTACTCCGAAAGGTTTAGGTTTTATGCTTTGTTACAAGTAATTCACACACTATATTACACATAATAATTATAAAAAAACAAATAAATCATGTCAAATTCTTACATACAGCCCTCTTGTCATGCTTTAGTTAAAAAAAATCCAAGTGCATCTGTACATATTAATTGCGTATGACTTTGGTGGCTCACCCCTCATCCCGCTGCCCTCCTCATGGAATGTACTCCGGCCGGCAGTGTGTTCCTCCAGGTGTTCGCTGCCTCCGCTGCCCGATGACGCCACGCTGCTCTGGGGGGAGATGGGGGCGTGTTCGGGTGCCGGCCCGCGGGGACGCAGGTCCTCCTGGGACAGCCATCCGTGGCCCAGTGGCTGGTTGGAGCCACCGCTCATCGGAGGGGTCAGAGACACCGAACGCCTCAGAGGACTGTGCTGCCCAACTGACAGGACTGAGGAAAAACAAACACACATGCACCGTGAGGATCATTGTCAACAAGTCAGGGCTGTTTTATTTCCGGAAACCTCTAGCAAACGCTTTAAGATGACCCTCTATGATTAGGTCATGTGCCGTTGCTAAGCAGAACTTTTAAAACATACTATTTTCTGTCTAGGTGGTGTGGACAATCGTATGGGGGTCACACTACACTTCAAGTATGCTAAATTATTTTGGACTGTAATGAATATCAGCAACAGGATACTATTTCATACTCCTGAGCTATTTTGAATAATTAATAAATAAATAATAGAGAATTTCAATATACCATATAAATATCATATATACGTTTTATTATTATATTTTACTATTTTATGAGACGAAAAAACAACCACAAATTTTTAGATTCTATTTAATTTCATTTTATTAACCCATTAATAATTTTCTTTCATATATATACAGTAGTATATAGACAAAAAAATAGGCATTTAAAGAGTAGTTAAGGCTAACAAAAAAGGCTAGCGTAAAAACAAAAGACCACACTTATTTTTACACCTAAAAGCCTCACTTAATCCTTTTTTTATGTTTCATTGTCATGTTTTTGCTTTGTTGACCTATTTACCCTAAATTAGGGGTGTTCAACCCTGTTCCTGGAGATCTACCTTCCTGCAGAGTTCAGCTCCAACCCTCATCAAACACACATGAACCAATCAATTAGGACCCGAACAGCGCTTGATAATTACAGGCAGGGGTATTTGGTGAGGGTTGCGTCTGAAATGTGCAGAAATGTAGAATTGATCACACCTGTCCTAAATGGACTAAAATCCCACTAAACTCACCTAATTCATCATTAAAAAATATTATAAAAAATCTAAATGACTATAATTTAGTATTTCAACTATTTAAAAGTGTTTTTATTTGTATGTTATAATATATTTATGCATTTATTTATTTTTTTACTTTCCTTACTTATATCTTATTATTTAATATCTCGCTTAGATGACATGGAAACATCTAACAATAATAATTTACCAAAGTTATTCATTATTAAATATAACATCACAAATAATTAATAAATAACTTTGGTTTATCCTACATGGGCCAAATATAACATTTCAATAAAAAAAAAAATTTTGATTGATAGATAGATTTTAATGTTTTTTTTTTACTTCACATGATTCACTGATAAGAACCTGTTCAGATTAACCATTCAAAAGAATCATTTGTTTGGGAATCAGCCTACACTTTTAAGCTGCTTAATTTGACTCACTAAAAATAACTTTGAATCTTTTGTTTTTATTCTTTTGTGTGAAATATTTCTAACCAGTTCTTAATGAAAGTTCCTGGTTCTCATCCCTGATGACAAGCAAATGTGTGGTCAGTGAGCACATGATTGTTTGCAGAGGCTGTGAATGTTCAGTAAATAATGTTCAGTTACAACCCTGTAACTGTAAAAAATGCTGGCTTCCACACAATCCCTTCATGTCATCCCAGTGCAAATCTATTAATTTAATTTAATGCCGTTTACAAATTTAAGTTGATTGGACATAAAATAATTAAGTTGCCCCTCCTACAAAAAAACAACAACTCAAAAATTGTGTTGATTCAGCTCATTTTAATGAAGTAGTTTACCCTTTGACTGCCCCTCTACCAAATGGTTGCCCATGTTTGTACTGTTTTAAATAATGACTGTTAAAGTTAATTAAAGAATGACTGTTTTAAATAAGCTGCACGGTGGCGCAGTGGGTAGCAAGTTTGCCACACAGCTGGATGCAGCTGGAAGGGCCATCGCTGCATAAAACATATGCTGGATAAGTTGCGGTTCATTCTGCTGTGGCGACCCCAGATGAATGAATGAATGAATGAATGAATGAATGAATGAATGAATGAATGTTTTAAAATAATGGTTTACACACACAGCCTTGTTGGTTTAGAAAAAAAATCAATCATTATCCTGTTGCACTACTACACTTGATTTTGATTTTATTGTAAAAAAACAAACAAACAAGAAAGCATGTTAAATGAGAATCTGAAATATTTTAGGGCATACTTCAAAAAATAAAGATTATTTAGTATTAAAAATGCTTTATTTTGATTATGTTTTAAAAAAAATTGGTCTTACACTTCATATTTTCATAGCATATGTAATAATTTTGCTACTTTTACCATAAACCGACATATCAACCATTAGGTAGAGGCTGATATTTTAGAAATTATGGGCTGTGTTGAAAAAAAAAAAGCATTGAGTGTGTTAACTAGTGACTTTAGGAGTTAATAAATGCAATCCAAACATTTTATTCACCTTAATGGAGCAGTTAAAGGGTTAAACTAAAATATTATTGAGTAAGGTATTGCTAGTGTTTTACCTGTATATGTGTTTTTGACTCTCAGTGCCAATTGCTCTTAACTTGCATTAAATCAATTACCACATTTTACTACAAAAGAAATCATGTTTAATGTCCTAATAAAGAAACAAATGCCCCTCCTTCTCATATGCTACACTGTTGACAATTTCCTGTAGAATCTACAGCAGTTTGCCAGCAACTTACTGTAAATCGGTTAAAGCAAAAATACTGTATTCACATTGCCATTTATTTTGCTGTATACATATTTACAGAATTGTATGAATATATTTACTGTAAGATATACAGTCATTCTAGCAATGCAACTTTAAAATACAGCAACATACCGCATAACTGTCCTACAGTAAAATATAGCTTAAATTATATGCTGAGTAATTTACCAAAATCGTTAGCAGTGTAAGTAAATGAATTGAAACATGCCTTTTAACAACTCTCATGCCAGCAAAAAAATCTCTTACGTCAAAACAGCAATGACTAACAGCTCCTGTAGCACTGAATAGCTACATAAACACACGTTTATTTGTTTCCTCTGAGGGGGGAAAAAAATCTGGCAAGCCAAACAAGCTGTGAGTCTTTTCCACTGCACCCACTAAACAGGTGAGTCTGTTCTCCTCTTCTGGAACATTCAGGCCCATCACGGGTGAAAGGAAAGAGGAAACAAACAGAGATGAGATGCGAAAGATACGTTATAGGCCGTGTGGAGTTCATCCTCTCTTCCTATATGCGGCTGTAAATGTTTGGACTATGTATAGGTCTTTGCGGGCTAGTTTAAAATAGGTGCCCAGCTTCCATTACCAAGTTCCAGTCCCTAAATATTAGCCATTTACCTTAAATACAAACCCCCCACAAAGGATACCTTACAAGGGAAGAGCTAGGATGGTATGCGGTGCTCTGTTGGGGAGGTGAGAGAGTGTTTGTGTGGGTAAAGCAGGACTCCGGATGCTCTCCTAATTCAGTTTACAATGCTGGGTGGCGATTAGATTTTTTGAAGATACTGTTAAATTTAAATCCTCATTTAACAAGTGCACTGACCAGATACAGGTTTATTATATCTGTTGTAAACAAGTAGATGTGCAGTAGATCTCACTTTGATAACTGAATCTCAACTCTTAGTTTGTGTCATTATAAAATATCAGAAATACATAAAAATACCATAATTTATTATGTTTACTTACTGTACATACAAACAGTGTTCAGCATATATAAGTACACCCCTCACATATCTATCTTTTAAATTCATCTTTTTAAAACGAAGCTATACAATATTATATTTGTGCATATACATTAGATTAGTCATAGTGAAGCCAAATCTGGAGCTTATCTAACAAAATAACTTACGATAACAATCCAAAAACTAGTACAGCCAAATTTATGTTATAGAACAATTATGAGATGCAAAATTTTTTTTTTTAATTAGTTGAAATTTTTGTAGGTTGTAATTTTGTTTTTGCAATATTTTGCTTGTATTTAAATATTTTAAATATTATTTTAATAAATATGTCTGTTTAATAAATCTGTTTTGTATAAACGCACCAAAATACATTGCCCATATTCACTGAGAAATGGACAAAAATATTCTTTTTTAAAATGGGGTGTTCTCAGTTATACTGAGCACTGTACATACATCCATAAACAAATAAACTACTGCTTTTTACTTTGTTGACCCAGTTATCCTAAAATCAAACTTGATAAACAAATATCCTCACTTTGGTTATCCTACATGGACCAAACTCACTAAATACATCACTATAAAATATTATAAATACTATAAATTATTACATTTCAATAACAAAATTCACTAATTAAATGGATGTGTGGATGGATGGATGGATGGATGGATGGATGGATGGATGGATGGATGGATGGATGGATGGATAGATAGATACATAGATAGAATGTTGGGTGGATGGATGAATGGATGGATAGATAGATAGATAGATAGATAGATAGATAGATAGATAGATAGATAGATAGATAGATAGATAGATAGATAGATAGATAGATAGATAGATAGATAGATAGATAGATAGATAGATAGATAGATAGATAGATAGATAGATAGATAGATAGATAGATAGATAGATAGATAGATGGAACAACAATGGATGGATGGATGGATAGATAGATAGATAGATAGATAGATAGATAGATAGATAGATAGATAGATAGATAGATAGATAGATAGATAGATAGATAGATAGATAGATAGATAGATAGATAGATAGATAGATAGATAGAGATACAGTAGATAGATAGATAGATAGATAGATAGATAGATAGATAGTTAGATGGAACAACAATGGATGGATGGATGGATGGATGGATGGATGGATAGATAGATAGATAGATAGATAGATAGATAGAATTCAATAAACATAAATATGATAATTTGTCATGTTTATTGCTATAATGTATCCCTATAACATAATATTAGTTGGTCCCAATTGTTGATTTATTCAAGTTTAACAGTATTTTGTCCATTGAACAGAAAAGATAATGCTTTAAAAGCTTATACATCCTGAGGCTTCCAGAGGTGGTTTGTGAAACCAGTCCTTTGTGCTTTTGAAACTCTAAGTAGACAAAAATAAAGAGGATCTGGTTGAGCAGTGCTTTAAATGTGCCCTTATTTATATCCTCAGCTGTCTCCTTCATCAGAAAAAAAAGACCCTTGCGTTCTTAGCTGGAAATATCATGCTCTGACCACAGATATGTTGAATCTGAATATCTTTGTTACGCCCCACAGCACAGCAGTGCCGCATCTACAAATTTTTTCCTTTCGCTTCATGGGCGAAGGCTTCGGATATTGATGTGTGGAAGATAAAGCTGAAGTCAAACTTATGATCATTTTTTTGATGATCAACTGTGGTGCTGATAATGGAACTTTTGTAGAATGTTATACAAATGCCCAAATTGTTGCCTTGGTAAGGTAAATCTAGAGGTATGACTCTTGCTTGGGGTGCGAGAGGTCCCGGGTCCCGAGTTCATATCCTCGATGAGCCCCCACTTTATGTTATGACCCTAGTCTCGGGTCAAGGACATAACATAAAAAACACTGGTCAAATAAATGGACCCGACCCCAAGGGTTCATAAAAACGATTTTATTTGTCCAGTGTTCTTTTTTGTTCCGTCCTTGACTCTAGACCAGGGTCATAACAGTAATGTAAACAGCAGTATGGACGATGAGCTGATATTTAATTTTTTTACTATATTTAATTGAATAGGAGTTTGCATGTTCTGCCGCTGTTCGTGTGGGTTTCCTCTGGGTGCTCCGGTTTCCCCCATAGTCCAAACATATATGCTACTATTAATAAATGGCCATAGTGTATGAGTGTTTGTGTGTGAATGTAAGAGAGTATGGGTGTTTCCCAGTACTGAGTTGCAGCTGGAAGGGGATCTGCTGCTTAAAACATATGCTGGAATAGTTGGCGGTTCATTCCGCTGTGGTGACCCCTGATAAATAACCAAACAAACTGATGGAAAATTAATGAATAAATGAGTGTGTATGGGTGTTTACCAGTACTGGGTTGTGGCTGAAAGGGCATCTACTGCGTAAAACATATGCTGGAATACTTGGCGGTTCATTCCGCTGTGGCGACCCCTGTTAAATAAGGAACTTCATTGAAAGAAGAAAAGAATAGCCCACTCACTTGAATTGGTCCCACTGCCTGTACCCACAGCGTTGATGGTGGAAGGCACAGAGGATGATGGGTACAGAGAAAGATGCCCATTTTCACAGCCCTGCTGCTGCTGCTGCTGCTGCTGTTGTTGTTGCCAACTTCCCAGACCGGAGTCTCGTGAGCTCTGCCAGCCGTTGAGTCGGTCGTCCGACCCGTACCGCTGGTGGTGTGGGTAGAGGTGCGGAGGCTGGCCATGGTGGGACGACGGCGGGCGTTCAAGCGAGTCTGAGGCTCCTCGGGCGGCTGCACGCTCCTCCAGGTGGTTGAGCCACAGGGCCAGGTTAGCCCGGTCATCTAGGGATGTTGCGGGGTGGATGAGAGCGTAGGATAAAAGTTGCCTGCTTTCCTCCAAGTGCCGGCCATGTTCAATGGTGTGGCCCAGGATCTTCGGCAGGAGGCTCATGTACTCCACTTTGGCCTCGACGTTGCCCGGCTTGAGAAGTGGCAAGTGGGTCAGAACTAGAGAGATGACCCGCTCCTTCGTTTCACTTTGCCACTGACTGATCAACACTGAAAAAACAAGAGAGAAATATTAGCATGGATTTAGAGAAAAGGACAACAATATACAAATAAGACACTTGAAGTTAATTTACACACAAGGGCACTGTAAAAATTACTATATAATAATAACAACAGGGGCATCACGGTGGCGCAGTGGGTAGCACGATCCGTATCACAGCAAAAAAGTTGCTGGTTCGAGTCTCAACTGGGTCTACGTAAAAAAAACTACGTAAAATATGAAATGAATTAAATAAAGAAATTAAAATAAAATAAAATGTTAATAAAAAGAGTTAATAAATAAATGTTATGTTTTGCATTAGTTTCAGAAATTGGCACTTTATTATTAAATGACTTAAAACAAATAAAAAATGTAAAATAGATAAATAAATAAAAAGCACTTTAAACATAAAAATAAATAAATATATTTGATGTTTCATGTTATTTAAATAAAAGGGTGAATTATAATCAACAAATAAATGCATTTAAAATAAATAATAATTAACAAATAATTTATAAATAACATATTTAAATAAATATATTTATTTATTTAAATATCATATATTATTATTTTTACATTTATTTTCAAATCAAATAAATATTAAAATAAATAATAAATATTATTTTAATTATTTATTTATTAATTCTTCAATTAAGTTTAAATGAATAAATTGGTTTGGCCAATTTTTGCCACCGTAAATTAAAAAGACGTATGAAATGAAATAAGTAAATAAATGAAGCAAACTAAAAGCTTAGCAGATCTTTACACAACATGAAATGCTAAAATAAAATGAAAATATCAGATGTGCGCTAAACATGAGATGTGTTTTATGGCATAAATAAAACAACATGAGCAAAGTCATCCCTGTTTTTCACTCTACAAAATAGCTGCTGCATTTTCAATATTCTTTGAGGACACTATTCATAACCAGGGTCAGATGGCCTATTGTAACATGCCTCAGAAATGAACTATAGGAACTATAGATATTTGAGGTCACGACAGAGGCTTTGTCCAGCACCAATAATAGAGAAACGCAGGCCGCAGAGTCAACTTTACATCCATGACTCATTTATTCTCTTTACTTTGGACACGGAGCCACAAATGGAGGCCAGGAATGTCTTCTTGTAGGCCTAATGATACATGACCGCAATCTCATGAAGGCTGTGTAAAACATATCCAGGTCACATTTTACCCAAAAAAAAAAAAAAAAAAAAAAAAAAAAAGATGTGTGGTTCCTATAGAGAATTTACAGTTGAAGTCAGAATTATTAGCCCTCCTGTTTGTTTTTCCCCCAATTTCTGTTTCTGCAAAAGTGCAAAATACTCAAGAGAGAAACAAGACTGTGATGACTGTAGCGTTAATGAAACAGGAGCATAAATAAGCATTTGATCATTGTGTGTGTGAGCAGAGATGTCCAGCGCTCTTCTGTCATGTTCAGCAGGGAGCTGTGCTTGTTTAGACCTCATACCAATGTCACGCTAAAGACAGAAGCACACAGACTTGAGGACGACGGCATGATTAAGTGTCTCTCTGGGAGTCTTTTTCAGGCACTTTTATTTTTACTGATGGGCCGACAGGGCTTCTAGAGGGCAAGAAGACAAACTCACTTCACACCCACTGCTGGACACTTATCCAGAGCTGTGGTTCTGTCTATACGTATTTTTGTGTACAGTTTGGGATATTGCTGGATGGAAAGACGCAGATGAAGTCTTAGCATTACGATTATATGTATTTTCTGTATTTGAGATTTGTGCATTTATTTTCCCTGTTGATTAATGCTTTTTGAATTGTATTACGGGACGTTATTCTTCTGATCTGAACTTCGGATGTTGAAAAGTTTGAGAAAGTGACTTTTATGAACATTTTTATTAGTGTAAAGTGATATATTGTCTGGTTGGTGTTGTATATTATGTTACAAAGACCTTGTAATAAAATGCCAGTACATTTTCTGCTATTTTACAGACTTGTTTCTCTATGTTATTTTTTTATTTATATTAATTATAACAATTATATTAAATAATTATTATTTCTCTATATTAATATATTATTTTTTATACATTATATTACTTCAAACTAATAAAATGTCAATAAAAAAGTTACTTCGTTAAACTGCAGAGTTAATTTTTCAACATCAAAAGTCAACAGAGCAGAGATTAAGGTCCCATAATGCAATTCACAACTATAAATAAATGGAAAAAAACTTGTGAATTAATTATTGGATTTTAATTTTTTTTTTTTTTTGTTATCTGCGTTTCTTATCAGGATATTCAATTCAGTTCAGCTTTATTTGTATAGCGCTTTTACAATGTAGATTGTGTCAAAGCAGCTTCACCTTTACTGACAGCAGCGTGTGTGGATCTTGTCAGAAAATATGGCGAAAAGTCATACATGACAGTAATAGTTTGATCAAGGTGTTTACTTTAATAATGCCTCTAATACTGTATATGCATAGTCCACATGTCTTAATTCAATTTCTGTTTAGTTCAGTTAAGGTAATCAAAATCGCTGTTTCGAGCTTATGTAGGCCTACAGTTCAAAATTCATGATTAACTGAATAAACAGTTTGTAAACACAAGCACATCTTATTGAACATCATTTATTTTCATCCCCAATTATCATAGTAGAACAGTTTCTCAAGCAGTTTGTGATGCATTTTGGAAACAGGAGATGAGCCCCTGGTCTAATGCGCCACCTGGCTTGAGAAACCCTTTCTCAAAGACTTACTTTTAGTCATTATTTGGGTAGCACACATATTCTGAATGCCTTCGACAGAATTCAAATGAGCCACTTTAATCTAGATTAACTAGCTTAATTCCAAGACTAAGTAGATAACAGTGAGATTAATCTAGATTAAAAAAATGCATCTGTCCACCTGTATTTTTTTAGTGTGCTTTTGAACTTTAGAAACATATACATTTAATAAGTTATTGAAACACATCAAAAAACTGTGTGATTTAGCCTCTTTATTTATTTATTTATTTAAATAAATAAAATGTCGTTATTTCTTATGCACATATTTAAAATAATGTGTTAAATTACATGCATTTTTTTTTACAAAGTTCTTAAAAAAATGTATAATTTATATAGTTAAACCATATTGGATGATTTAAAAGTTTTATTGTGATGGATTGTTGGTGATTGGATTGGTGTTGGCCTGATTGGGTAGGTTTATATGGACAAAGGAAAAATAAGACCTGACTTAAGACCTACAACACAATATTTCATTATTTTTTAGGCCTAAAATACTGTTTTTAAAATATTGTAAGATCTTTAAAGGCCCAGTGGACAACATGGACCCAAAAACGTTGTATTATGCAAGCCATGCCAGTAGTTCTTGGTGCCACTATATATACAGTATAAAACTTTGATGTTGTCCATCACTGTTGTTTTTGCTGTCGGCCTGAAGACCTTTTCAGCTAACTAAACATAAAATATAACACAAATGCAAGACTAAACATAAAATACACATGCAAATTACATCAACATTTCCCCTTACAATTTTTCTTTTTGTCAGAGATTATAAAAAAATGCACAAAAGCTCGCACCTCACTCTAAATGGGTGCTTAGCCAAACAGCAAAAAGTGCAAAATTCAACAGGGCGACAACATTAAAGCTACAAAAATACTAGGGGTGTAACAGATCACAGTATGTAATCCGTACAGATCACAACCCACAGTTCGAATTCACAAGATCCGCGGATTAATAACTTTTATTAACTTGTAGGTTAATCCAACATTTATAACAACTGCAAAGAGATCGCATCCCGCGTCCTTTCCCTGTAAAATATAATGATAACGGAAAAAGTTGTGGTAAGACATAAATGCTTTTTAAGTTATTAAGTAATGGTGTTTTCTGTCACTGTTTGTTTAGCCTGCATCAATGCATTCAGTGTAAAGCTGCACAATTAAACATTAAGAGATTGTGAACTCAATTCAAACCCACGCAACATGAACGACAAATGACAATGATTTACATGTGTTTATTCATCCTTCGAATCTGCATTTAAATCTGCGTTTGATCGAGAGAGTTCAGTTTTTACACTTTTTCAGTTCGTTACAAACAATTTAACAACACAGAAGTACTGGGAGAACAGTTTATAGTTCAGATATTAACACTGATGTTAATGGTAAAGATTAAAATCACCGTTTAATGGAACTTAACGCTGGTGAATGTTGTTAGAATAGGTGGCGACAAACAACCATCAAATTATGTCACTGAATAGGTTTTTTAAAATGATCCACCTATAAAGTAATAAAAAATACTAAATTAAAATAAAAAGGCTAACACAAAGCATGTAACGTTTCCAGCACACCGGCTCTTCATCAGATTGTATTCATCACAGCATGTTGCTCTTTTATATAACATATTTATTTAGTTTTAAATATGTACGTTGTGTAATTCACTAATTTATATTTTTCTATTTTTTTGTTGTGAGATAATGCAAGAGATCATGTAATCCGGAGAGTATAGAAAGAGCAACACGCTATATTGTCTGATGAAGCGCCGGTGTGCTCGAAACGTTTTTAGCACTTTTAACTTAATAAATTGGTATTTTGGAGCTTTTGTGTTGCCACCTTGTTAAGTATATTTTTGTCAGAGATTATAACAATGCTGTTTTTATAAACTAATACTTGAACAGTTTTGAAAAATGAGGATTTTTTGGTTCCCAAAATACAGTCGTCATGTAAATGAACAGCCAAAATACATCAACTAAATGCACCCTTACTCAGCATTTACTTGCTATAAAACACATTAGAAAGAGAGTTTGGTGGAAACATCTGATCAAGCTCAGGTCTTCGGCACTAAATAAGACCATGTGCTTGCAACCACAATCTAAAACCACTTGAAAAAGTCAAATTTTTAAGACGTGACGAAATCCGCAAAAATCAAAAATCAAAAATTGCTTAGTCAGAAAAGCAGAAAAATAACTCATAACTGACATCCAGTGATTAATGAGACAAGGTTATACGTCCACCACTATGTGTCACCACTCATCCTGGTTCAGTTTGTG